TCCAGGTGTAGTTTCTATGGTCCAGGTGTAGTTTCTATGGTTCAGGTATAGTTTCTGTGGTCCATGTGTAGTTTCTATGTTCCAGGTGTAGTTTCTATGTTCCAGGTGTAGTTTATATGGTCCAAATGTACTTTATATGGCCCAGATGTACTGTCTATGGTCCAAATGTACTTTCTATGGTCCAGGTGTACTTTCTATGGTCCAGGTGTACTTTCTATGGATAGAACGACTGATTAAAAGCATGTTCATTGTAGAATTAATTACAAATACAAACAGGTAGAGCTCATAAAGACAGTAGTAGAGTGAGGAAATATTGTCAGTTTACCCTCCAACAGTCTAAGCATATAGTAGTATAACTAAGGGATAACTCGGGAAACCCAAGCCAACAGTAACAATAAGATTTATCAAAAAAGAAAGATTTAAGCCTAGTATCAAAGTAGAAAAGCTGTCCACCTCTCTGACAGAAACTGGAACTTCTAAAGGACACAAAAGAAAGACTGATAAAAACAATTTAATGATAGAAATAATTATAAATACATGCATCAATATGACAGAAACTAAAACTTGGTTCCACAAGTGAGGAGCCTGAAAACAGAAACTCTGCCTCTCACTGTTAAAAACTCCAGGAACCACAAGTAAACCTGCAGTCTGAGAGAGAAGTGCCCTGTTAGGAAAATATGGAATAATAAGATCATTAATCTTAGATGGAAGGTGACATGGTGGTACAGTTGGTAGAGCTGTTGGCTCTCAGAGTGAAGGTCACCAGATTGAATCCTGGCCGGGGGCCTTTCTGGGTGGAGTTTGCATGTTCTCTCCATGCGTGAGTTTTCTCCGGGTACTCCATTTTCCTCCCACAGACCAAAAACATGCATGTTAATCTGATTGGTAACTCTAAATTCAGTCAACCTTTATTTAGACAGGTTAATCCCTTGTCTCTAGGTGAGACAGTGAATGTTTGTTTGTCTCATTTGCCTCTATGTCCCTGTGATGAACTGGAGACCTGCCCAGGTGTCCCTGTGATAGACTGGAGATATGTCCAGTTGTCCCTGTGATGGACTGGAGATATGTCCAGGTGTCCCTGTGATGGACTGGAGATATGTCCAGGTGTCCCTGTGATGGATTGGAGACCTGTCCAACTGTCCTTGTGATGGACTGGAGACCTGCCAACGGTGTCTCTTGCCTTTTGCACAGTAACTGCTGGATATGAGCACCAGTGACCCGAAAAGGAAGAAGCAGTTAAAAGATGATGGTGGACAGATGGATGGATGGATAGGTGGATGGATGAATGGATGGATGTATGGATGGATGATGGAGCTTGGTTGATGAGAGCTTTGTACGTTAGAAGAACATTTTTAAATTCTGACAGGGACTCAATAGAGTGAAGCGGATACTGGAAAACTATGATTTCTCCTATCAACTCTCATTAAAACTCTGGCAGCAAAATTTTGGATCAACTGTAGACTTTTTGAGATTTTTGAACACGCAGATAATAAAGAATTACAACAGTCCATTCTCAAAGTGATAAATGCATGGACCAATTTTTACATTATTTTGGGACATGATGTTTCTAATTTTAGTGATATTGTTCAGGTGGAAGAAAGAGGTTCTTATACCATTTTTAATGTGAGGTTAAATGACATCCTGATCCAAAATAACACAGAGGTTCTTTACATTAAATCTAATAATTAATTCTGACCAAATCCAGGTTTTTGTCTCTGAAACAAGCTTGTAATCTAAGTAACTGATTGGATTAATCATATTGCTTAAATAAATATAACAGAGTATCATCAGCATAAAAATGAAATCCAATATCTAATAACTTTACCTAATGGAAGCGTATATAATGTCATCTGAATTTTCTCTATTTTATTCTGACGGGATTTATCTGCTTCCAAAAATTATTCTAATAAATTACATGAATAAATGGGAATTTGATAAATATAAGATTAACCACTGTATTTTTTTTTCCAAAGAAACAAGTAAAAAAATAAAAACTACATGAAAATATTTTGTTTAGAAAAATAGGTCATTGTTTTGGTTTTCATGGATTTGGTCTAAAAGGGATCACCTGAACATCTGAAGAGCTCAGGATGTTGTCATCACATCAAGAGTCAGGTGGACTGGTTGATCCAATTAGTTCTGAGCTGAAACCTGTTGAAGTAGCTGAGTCATCTTTAACACACATTCTGAGTGCTACCAGAACACAACATTTCACACTATGGACCAGAACGGCTCCAACTCCCATCATAAGAGGATCTTTGTCTAAATCTCGAGCATGAAGAGTGAAGTGCATGAAGAGCATGGAGAGTGGTGGTGCAGGGGTTAGAGAGGATGGGCCTATTATCAGAAAGTCGCAGGTTCAACTCCCAGTAGCGTCAACATCAAAATGTGGGTGAAAAAGGTGAAACACCCACACCTGCCTCCACCCTCATTTGCTCCACTCTGGGCCCTTGAGCAAGGTCCTTAACCTGTGTTCCCTAAACAGGTCTCTCTTGAAAATTAGTTCTCGTGACTCAATGAGACTACATGTATAAATAAAGGGTAAATGAAAATGAAGCATACACCTTTAATTCTGACAGGATTTATCAGCTTCCTTTCTCTTATTTTGACAAAACCCAGTTTCCTGTTTGTGTGTCACCTGTTCTTTACACCTCCTCTTCTTCTTTCTACAGGAAGTGTCTGCAGCTGCAACATCACCAACAGCCGCTGTGATGAGTTTGGAGTGTGCAGGTGAGGCTTCATCAGCTCAGGTCCCTCTGGACTGGACCAAACTCTGGTTGGAGGTGGTCTATAAGTGAAAGGTCATTTTTACCTGTGACATAGGCTACAAAACTTCACATCTGTCACAGAACAGGCAGGAGGTCTAGCTGGTCTGATGAAACCCAGCTCTGCTCGTTTTCTGAAGCAGAGAAGACATTTTCACTTCCTGTCTTATTTCCTGTTCATTTCCAGGTGTGACCCGGGTTGGGATGGGGAACTTTGCGAGTACTGTGTGCCGATGCCCGGGTGCGTTCATGGTTCTTGCCTGCAGCCGTGGCAGTGCACCTGTGAACCAGGCTGGGGAGGACGGTTCTGTGACAAAGGTAAAAACATCACCTGAAGTCATGTGACAGGTTATTATTCTGCAGAAACTCAGGAGACATGTAGACTTATCAGAACGAACAATGTAAAGTTGAACAAAAACTGCACAGAAACATAAATTCATTACATTATCTCAGCTGGGATGTTTCAGTGTGACATGAATGGTGGACAGAACAGCTGCCCTGCAGAAACACAAAAACCTACAAGATGATTTCAAAACACAGAACCGGCATGTGGGTGCAGGTTTCCAGCGCCATGTTTCTCCGAAAAGAACTCCCTCTGCTTCTACCAACAGTCTGTGAACATCCAGTGTAAGGATGGTGCCATCTAGTGGGCCTTCCTTGTCTGTACTTCCCAGTGTGTCTCCTCATTTACACAATTAATTTCACCCTTGTCTCATGCCAGCTGTTTGTAATCACGTCCTGTCTTGTCTGTGTATATAAGTCTGTCTGTTAGTCTTGTTTGTTCTTGCGTTGTCGTTGGGTCTACCCTGTCTTGTACTGACCTGATGTGTACCAGTCCTGACCCGAATTGTATTCCCAGTTTTGTAAGTGTGCTGCCACATCAGCTATTTAACTTATCGTTAAAAGTATTTATTTTTGTATCTTCTGAGGCCGAGTCCCTGCCTGCAACTATTGGGTTCGTTCCTACCTGATAAATCCTGACAGAACGACGCAACCAACACAGAACCCATCACGCAGGGTTCTCCTCAGAATTACTCACCTGTCTGTTATGAGCCACAGATGGGGGAGCCTGTAATCCATTGTGGCGGATTCCAAACCGAACCCGTCTGAACACGAAGTTACCACTACCCAGCGATTGAAGTCTTGTCTTCGCCTCTCCTGGTTCTGGAGGAAAAGAGAAGGTCTCTGCCCTGGGGGGAACACCGGGCACCCGAGACTAGCTTTTCTTCATCTCCAATGCTGCTCAGATACTCGGAGTGGACGTCGGGGGAGGACGTGGAGCTGGAGGATGAGATCTGCTTCATTCCTGCCCTTGCTTCCCACCGTCGCTGCCTGGGCAGCAGAAAACGAAACCGGAGACAATCCACGGGACCTTTGCTGACATCCCTGACAGCGAGTGCAGATCCAACTCGGTCCAGCGAGGCTGAGTTTCCGGGATCTTGTTCCGGTGCTGTTGAGAGAGCCGATCTGGACGCCTCACCTCCTAGGACCCTGGTGAGGGTGGAATCTGGCACCTCACTCCTGCACAAAGCTCCCACGAGAATCAGTCCTGTCGCTCGCCTGGTCTGCTGCGGCGTGAAGGACGGCTCTCCGGTCGTCTGCCTGGTCTGCTCCGACGCCGTGGGCAACTCTCCGGCCGTTCACCTGATCTACTGTGGCATGAAGGATGGCTCTCCGACTGCCTGGTCTGCACCGGTGTGAAGAATGGCTCTCCAGCCGCCTGCCTGGTCTGCTCCGGCATTATGGACGGTCCTCCAGCCGTCTGCCTGATCTGTTCCTGCCTGTGGAATGGCCTGTTGGACGACCTCCTGGCCGCCCGCCTGACTGGCCTCAGCCTGATGAATGGTCTCCTGGCCACCCACCTGACCTGTTCTTTCCTGATGAACGGCTTCCCAGCTGCTCTGTTCCTGTTTGTTGTATGGCCTGTTGAACAACCTCCCGGCCGCCCGCCTAACCAGCCCCGGCCTGTTGGAAGGTCTCCTGGCCGCCTGTCTGATCTGTTCCTGCCCGTAGAATGTCCTGTTGGATGACTTCCCGGCTGCCTGCCTGATCGGCCCTGGCCTGTTGTAAGGTCTCTCGGCCGCCTGCCTGACTTGTTTCTACCTGATGGATGGCTGCCCGTTGGACTTGTTCCTGCCTGATGGATGGCCTCCTGGCCACCCGCCAGAACTATTACTTGCTTGGGGACGGTCTTCTGACCGCCCAGACATTTTTGTGTTCCGTTTGTGTTTAGGTTTCCAGGTTTTGGTTTCATCAGTTTGTTTTTGTCCTTATGTTTTATTGGGCCCTCCATCCTTGCAGTTCCTCCCTCCGCCCACCCAAGTGGGTGGGCTTTTTGGGGGACACAAGGGGGCATCCTTGAGGGGGGTACTATAAGGATGGTGCCATCTAGTGGGCCTTCCTTGTCTGTACTCCCTAGTGTGTCTCCTTATTTACTCAATTAATTTCACCCTTGTCTCATGCCAGCTGTTTGTAATCACATCCTGTCTTGTCTGTGTATATAAGTCTGTCTGTTAGTCTTGTTCATTGTCGTGTCATCATTGGGTCTACCCTGTCTTGTCCTGACCTGATGTGTACCAGTCCTGACCTGATTTATATTCCCAGTTTTGTAAGTGTGCTGCCACATCAGCTATTTAATGTATCATCATTAAAAGTTTTTCTATTTTTGTACCTTCTGAGTCCGAGTCCCTGCCTGCAACTATTGGGTTTGTTCCTGCCTGATAAATCCTGACATCCAAGACCCAAGGAGACCAATTGTTGTAGGTTTTGGAGGACCTACAGAGACCAGTTGTTGGAGGGTTTGGAAGACCTGAGGAGACCAGTTTTGGAGGGAATGTTGTCCCATTCTGCTCTGATGGAGGATTCTAGTTGTTCAACAGTCCTGCAGCTTCTTTCATTGATTTTTTTTGTTTCACGATGCATTAATTATTTTTGATTGGTCAGAGGTTGGGTGGCATAGTGGTGCAGTTGGTAGAGCTGCCGCCTCTCAACAAGCAGGTAGCTGAATCAAATCCTGGCACGGAGTCTTTCTGGGTTGTAGTGAACTAGGCCTCCGACCAAAACCTGTCTCTGAAGACCTTCATGGGACAGGAACTGTTATTTCATTGATTTGAATCCAGAAATACAAATTAGCTCATCCAGAGACTGTCTAACTGTATCCTGAATTAATCAATTGAAAGAACACTCTTCTTTTTATATTATCATTACTATTTTACAATATCTTGATAATCAAAAGTGTGTTTAGTTCATATCATTTCTAATGTTGAAAGTAAACCACTCATTTAAATCAACTGTGAAACAGTATTAATGATTTTTAAACCTCATTTAAATGAGAAATCAAGTTAAATGTCTATTTACAAAGTAATTATGGGGGCCGAGATGGTGTAGAGGCAGGGCAGCCGGCTTGGGACCCCAAAGTCCCAGGTTCGATCCCCAGTCACTGCACATCACGTGGCGTCTCTGGGCAGCATGCCTCACCCCTAAAATGCCCCCCGGGCGCTTTCAATAGCTGCCCACTGCACCACCTGGTGGTGGATGGGTTAAATGCAGAGACTAATTTTGCCATTGTATGGAAACATACAGTGCTGACATTGTGATGACATTATTATTATTATTATTATTAATTGTGCATTTTGATCTTCTGTCTGAATGAGAAGTCAGTGATGTCAGTCGAAAGTCAGAGACAGTCAGAAAACAAGTTATTAGAACGAACTGTATTGTTTTTAAACCTAGCAGACGATAAAAAGAAACAACTGGCATCTGCGTTTGTCTCACTTCACCATAACATTTCTCTGTCTGTACTAAACATTCCTAAACATTCTTGCACCCTCTCTTGACTTTTAATAGCCCTCTGACATCACTAGAACCACCCCCTGTTGGTTGTTTCAACCAATCAGGAAGTACTAAGTGACTGGAAGTGAGGACTCTTTAAAAAGTCAACACTTCCTGGAACTATTCATTCTTGGACCAGTCTTTGATCTGAGTCTTCTCAGTCTTTGAACTCAGTCTCTGATTATGGAGTCTTCCTGAGAGTTCCTAAGGAACTTTCAGATTTAATCAATAGCTGATGGATTTGACCGTGAGACGAGGGTCCGTCCATCTCAGCGGAGACATAGCGCCTTGCTGTGAACTCACCCGGGCGTAACGCCTACAACTTCGAAGGAAGCTTGTCTGTTTAACGGAGTAAACCACACGACTTCTGACGATGCCCAGCCACCCTTACCGGAGACGCTGTAAAAGGATCGTACTAATGGACTTCTGTTCCTGAGTGGAGGTATCCCCCGTCTAAGGTAACGAAGTCTCTGCACGTCCTGAAGTGTACCGGAGGTTTGAGCTGGTGTTGAAAGAAGCGTGCTAATTCTGGTCAACAAAACATACACCTTCCTTCATCCATCTCCACCTTCCTCTAAATCTCTCCTCCTTTAAATTCTTCTTTTCGCCAGTAAATCAATCTAGATGCCTTCAGAAATTTTCTGTTGTCTTGTTAGTAAAGCGTGCCAAGTTTTTTTTAATCAGAACCAGATCAGCGAATCAAGTGTACAATGTTTTGATGTTAAATTTTGATTCTGTTAAATAAATGACTGTATTTATTCTGATGGGTCAAAGAAAAATAACGTCTCATGTCACTGATTAAACAATCCATCACAGTTATCTCGTCACATGGCATTAATTTAACTCGAAAAAGAAAGAACCCGTTGTAAATAATTAATTAGTAGTGTGTCCACAGCAAAGCTGTCCCTGACATACTACAGGGTGGAGTTTGTATGTTCTCTCTGTGCATGCGTGGGTTTTCTCCAGGTACTCCAGTTTCCTCCCACAGATCAAAAACATGAATGTTAGGCTGATTAATAACTCTAAATTGTTCCTAGGTGTGAGTTAGAAGTGAATGGTTGTTTGTCTCATTTGTCTCTGTGTCCCTGTGATGGACTGGAGACCTGTCCAGGGTGTCTCCCGCCACACTTAGTGACTGCTGGACATGGACACCTGTGACTTGATAAAGAAGATGCAGGTACAGATAATGGATGGCTGGATGGTGACAAGTCTGGTTTGCAGTGGGTCAGAGCAGCACCTGGACTCTTCATGCTGCTGTAATGGATGTAGTCTGTAGTTTAACATGGTCTAGCTGAAATATGGAAGGTCTTCACTGAAGGTCTTCACTGTAAGCTCCTGCTTACATGCCCCCGCTGAGACGCTCCAGACCGGTACAAAAGAAAGTTAAATGTTGGAGCCAGGACAGTGGCCCCATACTGAGAGATTGTTTTGATCGAACAGACTGGCAGGTTTTCAGAGAAGCTGCTGAAAATGGAGGTTCGCTTGATCTTGACCAATACACATCCTCAGTCCTGGGTTACATTAGTACATGTACTGACACAGTCTCCACTATCAGAAATGTTAAAAGCTACCCAAACAGAAAACCTTGGCTGAATGCAGAGGTG